CCATAAAAATTCGCGGATATCGTCGCGGAAAAGGGGACGTCGAAAATGGACGATTCCGTGGAACGTTACTCGGCCGTAAATGTAACGGCAAACGGTGCTCGCTAATAAATTTACCGCGTCACGGAGATCTTCGATCTGTTCTTCCTCCTAATGGATTATCCGCGGATCGAAGGTTCTCGTCGATAAATTCGGCGGTCGAACGTCGACGGAGGTTTCGTTGGAAAATACGAAAAAGGAGAACGGTGTTCTCGAAAGTCGGAGGCGCGGACGAACGTGGGCGTAGAATCGGTTCGACAGCGTAGCGCGTTTGGCGGTGTGCGGTCCGAGAGGAGAAAGACGCGCGCGTGCACGCTGCACACGGACGCGCGCGTTACGAAGGCAAGAAGGTAGCTCGTAGCCAGCCAGGAAATCTATCTCGCATCGGCTCCCTTCTCCCATCGCCAGGACCTTTGCGCACCGCCCTGTAATCATCGCGAGTCAGTGGCGGCGGCCGCTAATTATGTTTCATAACACTTCTTACCCCCACTCCCTAATATCCACTCCCTTAGGGGCAGCTCATCATTTATTTACATCGTATTCGTCCCGAGGGATAACGCAACGACCTCCGTTCTTTCCGACCGTCCGTACGCACGGGATTCGACGCGATTTCCGAATGAAAATCGTCATTGTATCGGAACTCCTCTTCGACGGAACGTAACCCTCGTGCGCGATTAACCCGTATCGACCTTCGTAATTCCGACTGTCCCGATCACGCCAGAGCGAAACGTCTTTTCTCTTTCCCCGTCCGTGAAAATCTTTTCGGGCAACGCGAATCCTTCACGGAATTGGTCGTTAACGGTATTTCGTTAAGATACGCTCGGGAAATCCGAAGCGAACTCGGATTTAGCCGACTACCGCCTAATAGGCGTTCGCGGTTCCCGATCGATTTCGGGATTACGCGAAAGCTTCCGGCTGCCAACTGCGATCGTTTCTTTCCGTTTTCTTCTCTCCTCTTTGTCGCGCTGTCGGGAATCTCGAGGGTCGTTCGCCGTAGCCGCGCTTCGCACACCCGGTAAATTGGTGGCACTTCTGCGGTCGAGCGATTAAGTGGTTTCGAGCGATATCCTCCGAGAAAATTGGCAAGGTTTCGAGCGAACCGAGTTTTAATTAACCCCTGTCTTTCCACGAGCTTTTTAGAGAGCCGCCGTGCCTCCTTTCTAGCAGCCCCTCTACCTTTCGAGAGATTCAAGGAATTTTCAAAGCGTGCGCGCGGAATTAAGAAAAGCTCGTTTATACCCTTTTTTAACGCGATCTCTTGCTCTTTCGAGACGCGAATCAACGCTTTCGCGGCTATCGTTCGAATATGGAAAGAAAAAAAGGACGAAAGTTTGTTCGAGAATCGAACGTTCGCGGGCGAGCGGCACTCGTCAAAGAGGTTTTCGCTGTTCGATTTCCGTGCGTTTCGGTCCGTCACGCGAGCCGAACGACTCTCGTTACCGTGCCCTTTCCGCGCGATATTATTAAATATCGGACTGCCTTTGCGTATCGAACGCGTCAAAATACAGGGGTAAAGTTGAGTCGGTTTACGGGCGCGTAGCGCAGTCTGGTAGCCGTCAATCAAGCGACCGCTCGCAGAAAATGAAAGCGCCGCGCCGACTGCGTAAATATTCCGGGTAGGTATAGCGAGTGGGACGTACGTCGCCGAGCAGAGTCGAGCCGTGCAAGGGCGTAAGTAATCGTGCTTAATCGCACCGCTATATGGAAGTCGGATATTTTTCTCTCGCGATCGACGATAGTATTCTCGATAATCGTTACGTACCTATTACGGAAATACACGTGGTACGTATTCGCGTTGGGTTGACGACTAAATTCCCGACCTCCTCCACGTACGTTTTACCTGGAAACCGCGATTATCTTCGGTTTGAAGTAGGGCGGGAAAATTAAGCAACGGCAGTAAAAACGAAAATAATCAAACATCGTGATGTAACGTGTAAAATCTGAAACCGGTCATTTTGATCGGTCGGTAATTGCAGCGTTAAAGATGTATCGGAGGTACAACCGGTGTTCGCCGAAGTAAAATCAAAGGATCGCTGTCGATCGATTATAAACGGTGAATTCGTTTGAAATCTTCCGTGAAGAGTAATGTCCTAAAGTTTCGTAAACTTGGTCGCGTTTTAAAGCACCCTTAACGTCCGTCGAAGGCAAGAGTTCAGAACTGGTAACGGAACGACTTATCGACAATAGATCGGACAAGTTGTTCGGCTAACTCTTCGGACACCCCGTAAGCGACGCGTGTATAAACGAAGCACAAGAAAAAAAGGCAAAAGGAGGACCGCGGCGATGCGATAAGTAGGCGCGATTAGGCCGAGCCGGTCAACGATTATCCGAGCGCCACGAAACCGATCGGGAAATCTTTGGACGTCGCGACGAGCGTTCCGGCGTATCGACCGGACCTTCGAGAGATCGGCAACGTCATCGATCAGATTCGTACTCGAACGAGCGAAGGAAGAACGGTTGTCGCGAGCATCGAAAGTCGAGAATAAGTGCCGCGTAACCGGGCGGCGATTTGTCCGGATCAGCGTCAGCCTAAGCAGATTACGAGCTCTCCCCAAACGAACCGGTAACCCCGGCATGGAAGCGCGTCGATCGGATCGGCTCGAAGCCAGTCGACGTCCGCTGGGAGCTTCGTCGAGAAAAGAACTCGCCGATTCGAATTTCCCGCGTTTCTCTCGAACACCGCGATCTTTTTTTACGGCGATCCGCTCGTAACGATCGCG